TTCAAAAGCTCTGTATAAATAATTAGAATGAAGCTACCTAGCTAGGTTGACATACTTGATTTTAAAATAATTTATGACATAAAGATTTTTTTTCAATTAAAAAGTATTGTTAAATACCAGGCTGAGGGAAGAGGAAGAGGAAGAGAAAAGCACTCATTTTTGTATTACTACTAAGATAAGCCCTGAGCCCTGGTCTTCCACTTCTTCATGGGGAAATAGTCAACTCAAGAGTCTTGAGCCAACTACACATTATTAAAAATATTTTATTATTTTTAAAAATGTTTATGTGTATGAATATATTACCTGCAGTATGTAAGTACATCTGTGTTGTGCAAGTCAGAAGAGGACTTCAGATTACCCTGGAACTAGAAGCAGGAATGGTTGTTAGCTGCCATGTGGGTGCCTGGAATTGAACCCAGGTCCTCTGAAAGAGAAGCCAGTGCTCTTAACAACTGAGCCATCTCTTCATCCCCCTCAACTATGCAGTTTTATAACAGCGGGCAATTAAATTCACTTATAGGCCTTGACAGCGTTCTCACACTTTGAAAGGTGTAGGCAAACACCTAGGAAAATTAGATGATATGCTTGAGTGAGATTTTTTTTTTTTTAAAAAAAGAACATTCCTGTATTTTCAGAAAAGAAGTAGACATAATGATTATACAATCATAAGTTTTACAAATTTTTAGACTGAGGAAAGTGACATGTCAAAACCAGACACTTCTAATAGTAAAGAGAGTGAGTATAATCTATTTCTATTCAAATCAAGTCACAGAAAAAAAAGAGAAGGAAAATGAGTAGCATTCAAAGAAAGTCTGATTAATCTCCTCAAAACATCATATTTGAGGCAAAAATTCAAGAGAGATGTGCCCTGAGCCATACAGGAACTGTCGTGTGTGTGCACATGGTGAACTGCTACATCAGACTACATGGCTCAGCTAGGGATAGCTATACACACCTATACTTGCAGTGCTCAGGAGGCTGAGGCAGGAGGATCGAAAGTTCTAAGCTAGCCTTGGGTAAACAGTAAGTTCTTAGCTCTGGCTTACATTTCAAGATTCATTCTCAGAAATTATTGCTAGAAAAATCTCATATGCAGTAGAAGGCAACACTGAGGCTGTGGAGATAAAACATGATTACAAGAGATTGCAGAACAGGCATCCTTCAGAGAAAATATGCACATGATACCAGGATGCCCAATAAGAGAATGGGAAGTGTTGAGCTGCTGAGCGGCTGAATTCAATATTCACATACTCAAAAGTTAGTGAAAATCAATTTGAGAATACCAATTTTTTCAAATTGATTTCTTTCATCTATGATATATTACTTATAATAACTACATTGATTTTTTTATACTTATGCATTACCTAATAAAATACCCATTGCATTTCTGTTGCTCATTATTTATTAGTGAAGAATGTTTTAACATTTCTTGAAAGTGAACACCTTTACACTACAGATTTTATATGAAAGCATTTCATTACATTTAAGAATTATAACATGTAATAATTACTATATCAACTATTACCGTAATTGTTTCTATATCAACTATTACCGTTGGAGTAGCTGTTTTATGTTGTTTCAATAGGCACTGGAAAACAGAGACAGATTGTTCCGGCATTAATAGTCCATCAAAGCTTTTTCTAGTTAGTTAAATTTATCTTTTTATCTTATTATTTTAAAACATAATATATATTCATGTTCAACTGTCTTTACTTGTGCAACCTAATTGCTAATGTCGGGGACAGTCCAGGCTCTGGAACCAGAAGCATACCAATCTCTGCTATAAATTGGAAGATCGTGAAAAAGAAACAAAATTGGGAGGTCCCTGGATTTATTGGAAGTGTTCCTATCCTGGAAATATTGAGAACAAACACTGTAACAACCAACTAAGCAATCAGTTATGCTCACTTCTGGTAGGCAGTTTCATTAGATCCTGTAGAATGGCAATAGCGGTAAGCTAAAGAAACGTTCAGAAAAAAAAAAAGATTCAGTTGATAGAGGTTAAAAAGAAAACTAGGACTATGCAGTAGCACAATTAAAATACTTTAAAAATGGTGAGATTTAAACTGTCCTTTAGGCTTAGCAATAAAGAGACGTTTGTGGTTTTTTTGTTACGGGACATTTCCATGTAGTTGGCTGAGGTGGGGGAGGGATGGTAGAGCTGAAATCAGAGGTAAGGAAACGACGAACATTATTTTCTGAGCGTTACTCATTCAATAAATACTTAGCACCTACAATGTATCAGCCATTCTGTAGTAGTCATAGGAATAAAAAGAACAGTTCTCCCTGCTCTTAATAAACTTAGACTAGGGAAGAATATGTTCAAATGCTGATGGGAAAAATGAGTAATGGGGAAAACTTAAAAATACATTGAGAGAAAATGAGGAAAATTTGAAAATATGTTAAGAGAGCCTACAACATATTGGTGGAAGTGAGAGAGTGCACACCATCTGGGCAGATTGTTTAATGTAGGATAGAAATAGATGAGTACGCAATTCTGAAACAAAAGCAAAGTAAAAGTTTGTTACAGAAAAGTACAGCAGCCTACTCTATACACAGTGAAACCATAAACAAAGATGTTCATGCCACTTTAAGGAGAACGCTTGGAATGGCCAGGCTTTTTCAAGGAAGGGGGACTGCTTGTGTACATGACACTTAAAGTTCAAAATGTGCTAAATGTGATTGTTTTATAGCTCGTCCCTCCACCCCTACTCCCTGAGAGGTCTCACTATGTTAACCTAGTATAATGAGGCTCTAATGAGGTTCAAGGACAGTCCTCCTGGAAGGGATGTCACCATCTTGGTTACTGGTGTCAACTGTTTGTGCTAACCTGTCTTCCTGCTTGCTTACTGCACAGATTCTTTAATTTAAATTAACCTTGACAACATTTATGCTCCTTATCACAGTACAGTCTCATGCTGAGGTGGCTTTATTTAAATCAAATGACAGAAAGCACATATTAGATATTAACAAAGGATTCACATTTAATATCTTTTTATTTTGCTACAAAATCATAGCCTTATAGGTTCCTGTCAAGGTTCACCAAACTTGTCTGAAAATAGCATAAGTATTCACAAACTGCCATAGAAACCAAAACATCCTAGTATATTTACCCCTGTGTAAATTCTACTATCTTGGTGCTTACTTAGGAGGAAAATAAAAGCTTTTGCCCTCACAGGCACCTAGCCAACTAAATGGAATCTGGAACCCGGCCTGGCTAAGGATTAGGAATTTCAGAGGAAGCAGGTCCCACTCACCCTGATGCATCTTCAGCCCAGAGCGCCGGGACCGGCGAGGGGCGTGGAAAGGGGTGTGGCGAGAAGCCTGGGCGGGTGCGACGGAGCGGGGCGGGGCTCGTGCTGCGGTCCCGGCTCCTCCTCCTCCCCCTCCTCCGCCTCCTCCGCCTCCTCCACTTCTGGTATCTCCATTAAGCGGGCCGGAGCCTGGAAACTGGAGCAAGCCGCCTGCAAGCCCCAGCGGGATACGCATGCGCAGCCTCAGCCGCCGGCGCGCTCTTGACGTCACGTGGGCGTCTATTCAAACATTTCCTAGTTGCGCCATAGCCTGCTGGTGAGTGAATTTCTAACAGGGTTTGGAATTCGTTTGGGGGCCGAGGTCGGGGCCTGGATGAAGACTACGGAAGGACGGTTTAGATCAGCGTTTGCTGTGGTTTCAGGGAACACGCGTGAGTATGTCGTTAGCGCTCACCCGCTGTGTTCAGCATCTTGACTGGTGTTTGGGGAGATGTGAGAATATCCGAGTCCCAGCACTCATGCGTCTCTAATTGGTTGAGATGACGAGTTAAAGTTAAGTAGAGGCGCAGCAAAGTTAAGTGGCGCTTTAAAGTTAAGCGGGAACCTTAATGAGTGGCGAGGCAAGAGGCTCGAGAAGAAAGATCGAACCTACAGTGCTCAGGTTAACATCAGTTCTCGTTTCTTCCCGTTCTTTCAATTTATTTTAATTTTTATCTGATTTATTTTAATGAATTCAAGGGAGGAGGCAACCAATTGCTCTTGGAATCTAAAAGCTGTGGTGAATAGTTGTCTATACAGTATTTTAATTGTCAAGGGAATTAAAAAACAGTACCCCAAACTTCAGCTCTTCCTCCATTGTCGTTAGATTTTAAAGTACACTGGTAAAGGTGGTGAACTTTCCACACATCTTAAAACTAGCTTTTAGAAGTACGTTAAGGCAAATGCTAAATGGAATGCAGCTAAAACAGTTTGCCTTCCATAGAAGTATGCTTATGTATTGGTTATTGTAATAAAGCTATAACATAATCTGTTCTCCCAACACCTCAACTCTAGTGTTTTTGTTTTGTTTTGTTTTGTTTTGTTTTCTTAACTAACTTATTAAGAACGGGGAAAAGAAAACAGTCAAAGATCAAAGAGACTTAAAGCAAATTATCATCTGTATTTTGGATAAAACATTGGTCTTGTTGTCTCAGCAGCAAGTTATCAGCTTCCCTAGTTGAATTTTCTTTGGACATCATTGTGAACCAGAACTGCTATGCAATTTGAATTAATAAAGTCAGGGCTGGAGAGATGGCTCAGCGGTTAAGAGCAGTGACTGCTTTTGCAGAGGACCCAGGTTGGATTCCCAGCACCCACATGGCAGCTATGAACCATCCTTAACTCCAGTTCCAGGGGAATCTGAAGCCCTCTTCTGACCTCTGTGGCATTGCACAACACACGTGTACTCACATACATGCAGGTAATACACTCATACACATAAAATAAAAATAATAAAGTATTAAAAAAATAAAGTCAAAGGGTGCCTGAAGTCCAACCACTGAAAAAATTATACAAAATAGATTTCATATCTCTACAGCCAGGTTGTGATTATAGCAGGATGTATATCCAGGTAAGAAGTTAACTCGGAATGCATTTTCCATCTAAAAGGAGTGCAAATATTTTATACTGAATATTTTTATGAAAGCTGCCTTTAGATTTTTTAAAAAATCTTTGCAATTACACCTGAGACTTTCAATAAATTATTCGCAATTTTTTAACATTTAGTTAGTAAACATTTATTGAATGCTGTGATTCAGTAGACTAAGTTTCTGAGGTATGAAGAGTCACCATACTAAAGGTATCTCTGATTCATTCTAATTAATAAGTATAGTAGCATCATATTATTGTCAACATGAATGTCTGGTTCTGATATGTATCAAGAGAGTTGAACTGGAACTTTTAGAATGACTATTTTACTTTTCTTTTGAGTAAGACTAGTCACGTGTATACAGAAGAATTTGGATGCTACCCTAAAAATTGTGGGAGTTCCTTAGTAGAGGTTAGAAAGAGAAAGACATTCATTTTTAATTAAAGTACTCTGCCTACTGTACAAACACTACATTGTATTTCAAGCTAGAAGAACATCAATTGGACAGTAGTGCAGGTGAAAGTTGATACTGATTTGAACTGATCTCGGAAGGGATAATGGGAAGGAGGTAGACCGGAAAAACTGTCATACTACTACCAATAACAAAATTTAACATTTATTGCGTCTTTTCATATGTTGGGTGGCATTTCAGGTGCTTTGTGTGTGTATGTTAACTCGTTTAATTATCATAAAAACTGTGACAGGTTCTTTTATGCCTTACTTGTGTAGGTGAAGATACTGCATTTCAGAAAGGCTAAGTAATTTCCTGAGATCAGGTAACTAATAAGTGGTAGAGGTGACAGTTTGTTTCAGACTTGATGAGATAAATTATAGATTCAGAAAGTCTTGAATAACAGACTAGAGGGGCAAAGAGTTCAGAAAACTGAACTGTTTGTAATTCCTAGCCAGGCTGGGGAACACAGTAGGAGGCACACATTTAAACCTTGAGTTCAATTTTTAATATGTTGGGGAAGTCTTTGTGCTCAAGTAATATCCAGTAGAGAGATGGATTTGTGAATCCGAAGTTTTAAGGGTCTCTTACTCAGGGAAGTTCTGGCCAGAACATAGAATGAGAAGCAGTTTGTGTTGTAAGAACCAGTGAAAGAAACCAGCATGTGAAAGATGGTCTAGAAAATATAGGAAAAACCAGAAGGCAGTGGGGGTGTTTTGGATGCTTTGGAAGGGAAGTTTGAAGTGGCTAGTATTACTGTTACATTGATTGTTATCTGGTATATACTTTTTTGAGCACTTTTCCTGTATTGTATATTTTAGCCTGAGAACTCTGTTAGTAAATAATAATTATCTCATTTTATAGTTGGGAAAACAAATGCAGGTGAAGTAGCAGTAAGAAGTGATTTGCATTGCTTTTGTTTTTGCTTCTAACCTGAGCTTTATGTTGTTAGTTGCTCAGTTCAAGTTCTGGCTATTAACCAAGAAGTTGTGGGTCACTCGACGTCTGGCTTTGCTAGAACACTAAGCAAATCCGTTTTTCAGTGGTTTGGGGATTGGATATCAGGTGAGGAAATGAAAGTATGAAATACCTTTCAAGAAATGTGTTGTTATCTTTTGGGTAAATTAATCATGGAGTTTGGAGTCCTGAAATGGAAGTTGAAAGCTTTGAGCTAGTTTGTATTTAAGTCACCTAAGCTCATGTTGTCAACTAGTGTGTCTCCAACACATTTCTGCTCACATTGCTAACAAAATTCATTCTGCAAGAAAAAATGGATCATTTTTATTTCTCTTTACATTTTCATTAGAAACCAATATTTTAAAAATCAACATTAAAATTCTTCAAATTTTACAGCCAAAAAAAAAAAAAAAACCCAAAGAAAACATTCTAAAAAGATGTTCCAGATAGTAAGTCAATTTAAAAATAATAGGACTGTTCTCTAATGTTAATCGTTATTTGTGGTTTAATTTTGCAGTATTTCAGGCTTTTTAAAATTTTATTTTGTAATTTTTGTTTTATAATTTTCAAATGGGCCTCTATAACCTGATGCCTCATTGCCTTGGATTGTATCTTGGCAACAACAAAGCCTTGCCAGTGTTCTTAATTTTGCTATTTCAATACTGTTTCCATTTTGTTCTGTTTTGTTTTCAACATATTACTATTTCAAGTATCTCATAGGCAGTATACCAGTCTCCAGTCTTACTGTTTTATTGGTGAACTTGGCTCCCAGGATGGCCTGCTACGCTTCAGTAGGTTGGTCTGATAAAGAGACCAGGAGCCCAGATGATGTGTGTACATAGTGTATCACTTATGCCACAGCAGACCACATGAACTTCATGTGTTCATTGTTTCCCCTTTCCTTCTAGTTTCCATGGGGATAGACCCAGGTCCATCTGTGTATTGTACACTTAGTTTCTATCAAACCACAGGGGCACGGAGTTTAGAAACTCCCAATGTTTAAGTGGGTTATTAGTTTGCTAAGACTGTAATAACAAAATACCTCAGATGAAAGCCAGGGCATGGCTTACACATTTTCTCATAAGTCCTTGAGACTAGATGATGATGTACATATCCTTGGATTTGTTCTGAGGTTGTCTTCATGTTGTGCCCTCAGAGGGCTTTTGCTGTGTGTTTGCACACCCTTGGAATCTCTTTGTATACCTCACTCTTTCCTTAAGTTGACACCCATTAGGTTGGATTAGGGCTGACACTAATGGCCTTTTAAAAAATTACCACCCTAGGGGCCTGGAGAGATGGTTCAGCAGTTAAGAGCAATGACTTCTCTTGCAGAGGACCTGGGTTCGAGTCCCAGCACCACATGGCAGCTATAAACCATCCTTAACTCCAGTTCCAGGGGCATCTGAATCCCTCTTCCGACTTCTGCAGCATTGCATGACATGGATGCACTCACATACATCCAGGCAATACACTCGTACACATAAAATAAAAATAATAAAAAAAAATTACCACCTTAAAGTCTCTTTCTCCAGATACTGTTCCATTCTAAGGTTTTCAGAATTAGAAGATCAACACATGTATTTTGGGTTAGCACAACTCATTCCAGAAATAAGAAAATTACCCTTGCATACCTATATATTTTGTTTTTGTTTAAGACAGGGTCTCACTTTGTTAACCTCAAACTTGTGATACTCCTACCTTAGTTGTCAATGGGTATTGCAGGCAGGTACCCTGAAACCTAGCTTCTATTAATTCATTTTTATTCTGAAAAGTGACATGGCATTGCTAGAGTAGAAGCTGAACCTGCATAATGCCTCAGCATCCTTGCATCTCACCATATCCCTGCAGCAACTGCACATCAGTCCTCCATGCTTGGGCCCCACAGTGAAAGCCTGACATCCTCTTCTGTGTGTGAATGGGATTTCTTTCACTGTAGGAGAGGAACTCCTAGATGATGAATCTGGAAGCTTATATAGGAGAACTATCCATGTGTATTTTCTTTTGAGAGAGATGGTGGGTATAGAGGGAGATGAGCGGGAGAAATATTCACATAAATAGGTACCCTGGAGTGTAAAGGAATGGCCCTAGCTTTTTTCCTGTTGCATAGCAAATCTAACTCTGTAGACAGAAGTCTCCATCTCTTCAGTTTCCTGTAACTTCCAAAATGTGTCCTTTAACTCATATTCTACTTTTTTTTTTTTTTTTTCTCTTGAGCTAAAGACTGGAGTATATCTCTGTCAGCTTCCTAATGGAGTGACTCTCTTTGTAGGTGAGACTGCCCAGATAATGTATGACTGAGGGCTACAAGAGCGACCAAAGGTGTTCTATTAGGTGCTTGGGTGTTTCTAATAGACTACCCTTGGGTGCAAATCACAGTATTTCTGTAGTTATTTTCTTCCTTTCACCTAAGAATCACAATCCCAAAGGCATACACGCCATTCTTGGAAACAAGTTGCTATTGTGAGCAGCTCCAAGGCTGTAGGTTAGTCAGGCTGTGTGGGTTGACATGTTTGATTTGCATACCTTAAGTGTCCCAGTTCAGTCCCAGTGATTCAGCTGAGTTCTTGTTTTCAGAGACTGCCTGAACAGTCAGTTAAATCTCCTGTGTGACTAGTTCATTTGCTTTGGTTGTAGAGAACGTTTGAAGTTTCTCAAGCATTGAAGGTGCCCTGCTGGTTCATGGGTGGGATGGTCAGTAGGTCTCCTTAGTGTACGCAGAACATTCCAGTAGTTTCCTCAGGAACAGAGCTTGGGATTTGTTAACTGCAGTGACATCTGTGCACTGCAGGCTTCTCTTTCCCTGGAGTTCCTGATCTGGGATGGGCCTGCTTTGAGGCCTCTTTGGTCTTCTTCCCTATGTTTTCTAGGTGATTTGCCATGTACCAGGTCTCTCCTAGTGTGTAGTCTTTCTCTCTCAGTGGTAGACCCTGTTAAATTTTACTAGCTGCTTGTAACCATGGATGAGTAGATGTCCTTTATCCTCATTAAGCGTGACTTGGCAGGCCATTACTGGGTTTTGTGAGTAAACAGTATTGCTTGGATCTTGCTCCTGTGTTCTCTTTCCAAATACAGGTAGAAGGGTTGGTTTGTTGGTTTGTTGGTTTGTTTGTTTTTCTGTTCCAGTCACAGTGGGTTTTCCTCAAATTCATAAACTTGTCACTCTCCCCGCCACACTGCTAGCCCTTTGTTCTGAAACAAAGGTAGGGGAGAGAGATCCTGGCAAGGTTCCTCCTTATCCCAGTCACTGCTGCTGCTGTTGCCCTAACTCTTGGTAAGAACTTTGTCAGGTCTGTGAAGAAGACCTTGGAAACAACAGTAAAATTCCCTGTTAGCACCTCCTCAGGGCCCTATGCATTTTCACTAGTCCATTGTGCCCTTAGAAGTCCACTAGTTGTTACATGGATTTTCCTCATAGGTGCTGGGCAGTACCTGTCATTTACATTGATGAGTGAGTGTTTGCTTCCCTCCTCCCACTCCTCAGCTCTCTGGTTAGTTTATTGTCCCATACCTCAACTCTGATGGGTCATGGGAAGTTTTGGAAAGTTGCAGTTTGTCCAATAATTTGTTACACTCTCTGTAGCTTTCTACCTCTAAATACAAATAAGTATCTTTACTTTTGAGTCACTATACATTGTCGATAGCCATATCTTTATTTACTTATAACCCTTAAGAATAAAGTTAATATGTAAGTAAAACGATTTCTGCCTCATCAGTAAATACAGCATTTTTGATAGCTGTATTAAATGTGGAATATTAATGTGTGAGATATGTATTCTAGTATCTATTTTTAAACTTACTTAAATAAAATAGACATCTGTGGATGTTTTCAGAGTGTAATATTTGCATAGAACCATTAAATTTTGACCCAGAAGAAATTGTATAAACTAACCAGAGTAAACATTTGATTTTGTTTTAGCTTTCATTAAACAACTTTTTGAAGCTGACAGAGTAGGTTACTGCAGAGGACTAAGACTAAATTGTACTTGTGACTTAGTGTATTTATTGGCTAGATTATCCTTGTTTATGAGATTTTCATTCCACATTTGGAAGCTTTTTCTTTATTAAGTCCTCATTCCTTTCTAAGAGCATGCTTTATTTTCTGTTAAGATGAGACAGTATTATAATATTAAACAAAGCTAGGGGAAATTGGTCTGGTTCATCTTTATACCTTAACTAATAAGATTTTTTTTTTTTAATTCAGTTAAGAACCTAAAGTATTCTAAGTCCTCTGATTTTTCTCAAGAAACTGTTAAGAATTACTTGAACACAATATATTGGTTCCTTAAAAAAAAGAATGATCAAATAAGAATCAGAGGTTTTCTAAAGGTTAATTAAGCTTACATGTGAATAGAATAGAATTACAATAGAGAAAGCATGTTGAAGTAAAGGGTGAGTATATTCAAGGAGAATTAGAGTAAGATTTTAAAGGCAAAGTAAGAATGCTTGCTTCAGGTATTTAGACACAATAATCCTTGGTCATAGAGATTAATAGCAAGAGCAGCATCAGCCCAGAGTTTAGCAGGTGGTTATAGTTTTCCCGTGTGCTTGCAAGTAACCTTTGTGTGACATGGTGCTTGTGTCAGGGACTCTTGTAGTAACTCTTAAGCATTCATACATGAGAACCTTCAGAAATTTCAAGTGGCTTTACGTGCTTTGTTAGGGTTGACACAACTCCATTTTTATTCTGATGCTTTCTCAAGAGATAAAAATTCTCATGTTTTAAAATCTGTTCTACTTTTGCTCATATCTTTTATGATTGGTCTTCTTTGCTAATTGTTTTCCTCTCTATTTCAGGCCAGACTCTGAGTTACTCCTTCATTAGCATATTGTGGAAGTAGATCACCTGCTTTGAAGATTAAACTTGAAGGTATGTAGTGCAAGCACACTGTGTTTCTGCTTAGCTTTATATATGTGCATTTTCACACATAGACTTTTGAATGACTTTTAGTAAGTAATGCATTCATGGTAATTAGATACTTACATAGTGAAAAGTTCCTTTTCCTTTACTGCATTTTGTTGTATTATCTCCCTTCCTCTACCTCCCATTTCTTTAATTTTACTTAAGATCTCTTTACTCTCATATCCAGACTATTGTACCTAACTGGTCTTTGTGTTTGCAGTTTGACAAATGTTACCTGTTATTTTAGTAACATACTTAAAAGTTTTCCTTCAGAATACTATTTCTTAGATAGGTATCCCTAGGTTTTTGTTTTTGTTGTTGTTTAGTTTTGCTTTGTTTTGTTTTGTTTTGTTTTATTTGAGACAGGGTCTCCCTGTGGCCCCAGCTGGCCTAGAACTTAGTAGACTAGGCTATCTAGCCTTGATCTCACAAAGGTCCTTTTGCCGCTGCCTCCCAGGTGCTGGGATTAAAGGCAGGTACCACCATTCCTGGCTAGATAGGTATCCTTGTATAGGGAGAATTCCCTCTTTGTAACCCTCAAATAATTTAGACAAGCTAGGAACAGCATGTTGGGTATTTGGATGGTAATAGATCATATTTAAAGCCTATAATTTGTTTGGATGGTTTGAGCAGTGAATGGAAATCAGACTGAACTCCAACTATTAAAACCACCTATGGAATAGACACTGTTGTCAGTACTGGAAATAGGGTAGTGACCACGACATAATCCTTGTTCAAAGTTTACATTATAGGGGCAAGAAGAAATAGAATAAAAAATTACAAAAAATGCTAGACGTAATTGGTTTTGATAAAAACAAAATTAAGTTTGTAGACTATAAAGATAGGCATCCTAAATAAATTTTCTGAGTCAGTCTATTGTATCTACTAGATCTTGGATTGGCACATTTTTTTCTTTTTAATCTTTATTAGTTAATCCCTTATAAATGACAGAAAGTTGGTAAATGACTGTTAAAGAGACTATAAAGTTCAGATAGTGCCAGAGATCAAATAAATAGAAGGCACAGTTATGGACTGTGTGAGATCTTGTCAGAGAAGTCATTCATTCATTAAGGAAAAAAGTTTAAGTAGAGTATAACATAGTACAAGCCTCTTAACTTCAGTTATTCAAGGTCTATTTCTTTGAACCATTGGGTTTTTATCAGGTATACATATTGTACTTATAATAAAATAAACAAATCACGCGTAATGAGTTTTACAAAGAAAATATACAATAGTAATTAGTGTCTAATCCGGAAAAGACCATTATCAAGGATACCTCTTCTAGTCACTGTGTACCCGAGGAATACAACGTTCATATATTCCATAGATTTATTTGTTTTTCTTTGAATTTTTGTAGCATTATATCTATCTTCACTGGGCTTTATGTTGATATGATTTAACTAATGGTTTCTAGTTTATTTTCACTGCCCTGTAGTCTTTAGTATGTGCATATACAATAGTTTATCTGTTCCATGTTTATATTGTTCTACTGTTGATTAGACAGTTTGTTAGTTTTAGGCTTGGGGCTATATCAAATATGCGTGTACATATTTTTATAGGCATAAGCATTTCTTTTGATCATATCTAACTTATCAATGGAATCACTGTGTTGTAGTGTATCCATATACTCATCTCTAATAGGTTTTGGCAGACTTTTTTTTTATACGGTTTATACCAGTTCACATTTGTCTCTAATTCAAATATCCTAGGTTATGTCATACATCATGCTGCAACATTTAAACCTTCCCTCTGAGATCGGTAATACTGTGGCAATAGTGCGTGATGTCATGTTACAGTGATGCCTGAATAAAAGCAACCTGGACTTTTAGCATCTGTTTTAGCCAAGAGAGGATTTTCCTTGATATCTCTCCCTCTC